GCTTTCTATGTGTCTTTTAAACTTTTCTATTTTGGGCCCAGCCTTTGTGGCACAATGTACTCAATTTTATTGCTGGAAACCATATGGCTGACCACAGGTTTGGACAGCAGGTCCCAGCCAACCTAAAATATTTCAGGTGTGCGCATGCATGCCCAAGATTCTAACAAGCCAGAAGGCTGGGGAAACAGGATCATAGTGTGACTAGACCGTGTTGAACGTGCTTCTCTCTTTCTCTCTGTCTCTCTCACACACATGTACATGCATGAGTGTACATACATGTGCACACATGCTATCATGAATAAAATAAACTTTTTGTTTTAGAGAAATTTTTGCTATAGGACACATATACTCACCAGAGAGATAGACAGACAAAAAGTGCGAAGTCAGCCCCAAGGGGAGATGGCCATTCTGTAATTCCTTCTCCTCTATTCTCCTTTCAGGATTTTGGGCACATACACACACACAGGAGCCCGGCATGAGTTTCAAGCCACCAGGTCTGGGACTCAGACTGCAGTCAGCCATGTGGGAGTCCAGCAATGTAACCATTACCCATTTATTTGTCCCAATAAATAAACTTTTTAAAAAATGAAATAAATTTTGCCTAAAAATAATAGTTTTTTATTAAGAATTATTTTATTTAATTTTATTTATTTATTTACTTATTTTGATTTGACCAGAGAGGGACAGAGCAAGAGAGAGGGGGGAAAAGTGAGAAAGCAAGGTGCCAGGTCTGGGACTCAAACTGCAGTCGGCCATAATATCCAGCGCCATTAACAACCCTGCGACCTGCTGGCCTCAATATAGTTATTTTTATTATATTAACCACAGCAGTGTTTGGATTAATATTTGCATGGAATACAAGTTTTCACCCTTTAACTTTCAATCTCTTTGTATCCTTATATCCTAAGTGAATCTTTTGTAGACAGCATATAGATGGATGAGTTAGGTTTTTTTTTTTTAGAATTTTTTTATTCAATTTTTTTTTTTTAGTTTTTTCAACTTTATTTATTTAGTTATTTATTTTAATTTGCCCAGAGAGGGACAGAGAGAGAGAGGGAGAAAATGAGAAAGCAAGCCACCAGGTCCGGGACTCGAACTGTGGTTGACCATGTGGGAGTTCAGTGCTCTTAACCATCGTGCCATCTGCCAGCCCCAGAGTTTGGTTTTTTAAAACTCCAGTCTGATAATCTATTCCTTTAAAATTTGTTTATTTCTTCCAAAAATGAGAGAGAGAGAACCCCTCAACAGAGTCTTGACTCTGTGATCCACCCTCAGCCTCAGCCAGTGGAGAATTACGAGCATGCATGTGCCCAGTAAACTTGGGAGGTCTCTGGATGCACACTGGGAATCTCAGTCTCACAGAGGATCAGAGTTTACTGCGGCTTCACCATCCAGACCCCTGGGCCTTTTAATGGGAGTTTAACTCTTTGCATCTGGTGTGGCTACTGATAAAGGGTTTAATTTATCACTGAGCTATTTTTTTCTGTATTATAACGTTTTTGTTCCTCAGTTCTCCCATTACTCTCTTTTTTTTAGTTGTTTTTTTTTATAGTGTCCCATTTTGATTTCCTTAAATTTTTTACTTTTTTAAAAATTATTTTCTTAGTGGTTACATTGGAACATCTAGTTAAACTTACATTAGTTAAAACTAATTTAAACATAAACACTGAGTTATCTTAAACTTCTAACAACCTAGTTTGAATGTTGCCAACTTAGTTGTCATAGTATACAAACACTTCACTCATATATATCTCGATTGTCGCTCCCTGTATATTATTATAGTCACAGATTAAATCTTTATGCATACCCATATTAGCATATATTTATAATTATTCTGTTATGAATTTGCCTTTTATTTTTACTTATTTTTAAAGATTTATTATTTTTAATTTTATTTGTGATCATTATTCTTCTATTTTGACTGAAGAGAAAGGGAAAATGAGAAAGTAGGTCACCAGGTTTGGGATTTGAACTGTGGTCAGCCATGTGGGAGTCCAGCGCCTCAACCATCATGCCATTTGCCAGCCACATGAACTTGCCTTTTAAATAACATAGGAAAAAATAGAGAAGTTACAGACCAAACCAAATACTGACTTTAATATTTACCTATGTAGGTACCTTTACCTTTACTTTCTTTTCTTATGATTTGAAATTACTGTCTCTTGTCCTTTCATTTCAGCCTGAAGGACTCCCTTTAGCATTTTTTTTACGTCTTTGCTATTGGGTGCGTGCACTCACCAGAAAGAGAGAGAGAGAGAGAGAAAGTGAAAAATCACCCCCCTACCACCCAGGGGGAATGACCACAATCACAATCACCTCCCCTCCAGTCTCCTCTAGGGATTCTGAGCACACACATGCATGATTTTCAAGCCACTGGGTCCAGGACTCAAACTACGCAGCTGGTCATTCAGAACCTTAGCCTCCATGCCACCTGCTCTTTAGCATTTCTTGTAGAGAAGATCTCTCCACCTTTATGTGGAAATGTCTTGTTTTCTCTAACTCCTGAAGGATAATTTTGTCAGATATAGAACTCTTACTTCAAAGTGTTTTTTTTTTTTTTTGGTGGGGTTTTTGCCATAGGGTGTGTGTGTTTTTATATTTCTGTCTCTTTATTGATATTTTCATTTGTTTATGCATCATTTCTTTGATTTCCTTAAGTTCTGTTATTCATGGTTTCTTTTAGCTCATTAAATATATTGAAGAGAGTTGATGTATTAGGTTGTCAGAAAAGTCATGACGCATTTTTCTATGCAAAAATGTGTCATAACTTTTCCAAAAACACAATACATTTTTGACTAATAATCCCAATGTCTGAGCTTCCTCAGAGATGGATTCTGTCAAATTCCTTTTTCCTGTGATAGGGTCATACTTTCCTGCCATATGCTTTGTAATTTTTGTTGAGAGATGATCATCCTGAGTATTACATTTTGGTAATTCTGAGAATCCAATCCTCTCACTTCTAAGGGATTCATGTATTTTGGTTGCTAAGGGCTGGAGTTATCCACTTGTGACTTTTCCAAACTATTCTTTTACAATTGCCGGAGAGACAGAGAGAGAGAGAAGAAAACATCCTCCGATGGGGAATGGCCATGCTGCAATCTCCTCTCCTCTGATTTTGGGCACACACACATAATATACCCAGAGTGTTTTGGAAGCCTCTGGGGCTGGCTTATAAACCATGATTGCATGTGGGATCTAGCTCTCATGACCACTTCACTACAAGGACAATACTACAAACTATTTTTGTAAAGTATGTATTTCTTGTGTGTGGGTACTATATTTCATTTCATTATCTCTGAGGTCAGTGATCTGACAAAAGTTCCCTTTAGTGTCTATCTCCAAGAAGGAGAAAAACAAAAATACTGTCTCTTTAATCTCCTGGAAAGGATTGGAAGTCTCTTTAGCCTATGAATGTTTATACAATGGCTAGGCTCAGTGCCAGCTGTGTCAATGATCTAAAGCAGCAATCAGCAGTCAAAACACATACCCCCAGTTTCAGAGGACAAGGTCTTTGTTGCCCACCCTGGCACCAGCAAGTCTTACCAGGAATGTGGACTGCTCTGCACACAGCTGTCTGCTGCAGAGGTGGAAAATGGTAGCTACTATGTGAAATATTGAAATTCACCAGAACTTACCAACCTCTTCATCAGACTCACACTTGGACACTGCAGGTGTTCAGCTAGACTCCAGCGTTTCAAACTAGCTACTTCAGATAGTTCTTGCCTGGGGTCAGCAGTTGGCATAATGACTATGTCACTGAACTTCCACGTAGTCGACTACCGTACGAGTCCCAGACCCAGTGGTTTAAACACACGCTGGGCATGTGTGCATGTGTGCCCAAGATCCCAAGAGGAGAAGGAGGAGAAGTGATTGTGTAATGGCCATCCCCCTGGAGGGTGATTTCTCACTTTCTGTCTCTCTGTCTTTCTGGTGAGAACATGTGCCCTATAGCAAAAACCTCTCAAAAAAAAAAAAAGACAGTTCTTGCCAGATCAATTGTTCTGGTAAGGGGACAGATTCCTGGAAGTTCTCACCCCACCATCTTCCATCTGGGGCTGAGTTTTTCTCAAATGGTAAATGACAGAGTTGGGAGTAGATCAGTGAGGCCTAGTCTAGAATAAACTGGAGGACTTTAAAAACTACTGATGCTGAGCCAGCTGGTGGCATGGTGGTTAAGGTGGTTGGATCCTACATGGCTGACTACAAAGCTCAGCCCCAGAGCCAGCAACTTAGAAAACACTGGGACTGTGTGTGCATGCCTAGAGTCCCCAAAAGGAGGAAGAAATGGAAAAGAGATTGTAATGTGACCATCCCCCACGGGAAGTGGTCTCTCCCTCTCTCTCTCTCTTTCTCTCTCTCTCTCTCTCAAGCACATGCATCTTCTAGCAAATTAAGAAACAAAACAAAATAATAAACTACTATTGTCAAGAGTTGGGTGGTGGCACAGCGGTAATACAATACTCCGCATTGCTGACCCACATGGGAGGGTTCTAGGTTTATATCTAGAGAGCTCCCTGAACACACTGTAGGGTAGATGCATGCCAAAACCCTGGGCTTGCTGAGGATGGGGGAGGATCGCAGCAGGAGGACCCCATTGGTGGTGCTCCTCTTTCTCTTTCTTTCATTGTTGAAGAAATAAACAAACTTTTTTAAAAAGAGATTACCGATTTCAAGGTCTTACCCCCACCACATACTCATCACTGGGGATGGGATGGGATGTCTCTTTTCAACAATCTCCCCAGCAGGTTCTCATGCTCTCAGATGGTGGCCCTGGCTCCTATTACACAGATCACTTTTTGAGGAGCGGGGTCCTTTCCAAGTGTTTATCTTATATATTTCGCTGAATTTGGGGGGACGTGGACATTTAGAGGAATGCATTCTAGCCTGAAGGTAAAGCACCTGCTTCCCTCTCAAAGCTGCAGGAACTTGGGAACCAAATACAGATGAGCATTCAACTCTTCAAATACAGGCCGAAGGTTTCACACAAGGAGGTTACTTACCAAACAGCTTAGCCAAATGTTCCTCTCCTGTATTTGAACTTGATGCAAATTCAGAATTGTTCAAGCTTCCTTGTTGGGAATAACCTACAGGAAAATAGGTTAAACCTGTGATTAAATCTTTCATTGGATCTGCATATATTTTCTTTACATTGACGCTTCTGCATGGTATTTTAAGAAACTGACTTGGCCTTCGCTTAACTCTGAGGGTCCCACAGTATTCATGAACCGTGTACAAGAATCTGCAGTTGCAACATAAAATCACTGATTAGACTCATTTTCACATGGTTTCCTGACAGCCGCTATGCATAGCAAGTGAGTAATCTGTGCACATGGCTGCTTTAACGCCACAGGAAATTGGTAAGAGGCCTGTGTGGGGTCTGCCAAAGGATTTCAAGGACGACGACTTTGATCCAGCCAGTGATAAATGCACAGTTCTCTGTTAGTGAGACGCTGGTGGATCATTAAGAGTAGATGCACTTAATCTTGCAAGTAGCTTGCTAAAAATGTGCTCAGCACATTCTGTCAGCCAAGGAAGCATAAGAAAACCTGCTACAGGACAAACAATCAAGATTATACAGTAAGGGGAACCAGCAGTTAGTGTAATGGCTATATCGCTGGACTCCCACGTAGTCGACCGCGTTCGAATCCTGGACCCGGTGGCTTAAAACTCACACCGGGCGCGTGTGCGTGCGTGCCTAAGATCCCGAGAGGAGAATGGAGGAGAAGGGATTGTGGCGTGGCCATCCCCTCTGGGGGGTGATTTCTCGCTTTCTATCTCTCTGTCTTTCTCTGTCTGTCTGGCGAGCGCATGCGCCCTATAGCGAAAAAACCTCTCCAAAAAAAAAAAAGGGGGGGCGGGAGATTATACAGTAAATAGTCACCTTTCTCCTTCATCGAGTGACTTATGAAGCCCATTGGCCAGGTCATTCATTATAAAATTGCCTTACTAATAGTCTAACAGAACTTATTATTAATAGAAATGATTTTTTTTTGAAGAGGTTTTCTCACTTTCCCTCTCTCTCTCTCTCTTTCTGTCTCTTGTCTCCCTCCAGCAAACACATGCCCCTTCTAGCATTTTTTTAAGAATGCTAAAATGAGAAGGTAGTACAGACAATACAGCACGCAGGCCTATAGGAACAGGCGCACTATGGTGTTAACATGTACTTGCTTTCTTCCACGTCTCTCTTTGTAATTGCTTTGCCTTCCGTTCTTGTTCCATCAAATGGCGGATCATTCGGAACTTTGGGAAGTGCTTGCAGTAGAATATCATCTCGGGTGAAACAAAAAAGGCCTGTTAGCACCAGCCATGCAGGACTGACTGCTCTGTAAGGACCTAGTCTATGAATACAGTGGATAAATGGACATGGGATGAAATGCTTTATCATAGGGAAGGAAACTCCAGCCACCTAACTTATTCCTGGAAAGTTGTGATTGCATGAAGGTACCCTGGGAAGTCAATGTTGCCCACCAAAAATATATGCCTGGAAAAGTTGCCCCAAATCTCTAGATATTTGGTGCCACAATTTTCTTCTTGTTCCCATTGTCATTTGGGCCCACCTATGACACTATCCAAACTGTTCCTGTGTACAAAGAAATCTCTTTCCTATTTCCTCAAGGTGCATATAATTTTATTCCTTCAAGATCATGGGGCCAGCAGGTGGCATAGTGATTAAGGTGATGGACTCCTACATGTCCAACTACCGTTCAAGTCTCAGATCTGGTGGCTTGAAATTCATGCTAGGTGTGTATGCATGTGTGCCCAAAATCCCGAGAGGAAAATGGAGGAGAAGGGATTACAGTGTGGCTATCCCCTGTGGAGGGGTGACTTCTTGCTTTCTGTCTCTCTCTGTTTTCAGTGAGCACACATACCCTATAGCTAAAATCTCTCTCTCAAAAAAAAAAAAAAAAAAAAGATCTAAGGACCAGCAGTTAGCGTAATGGCTATGTTGCTGGCCTCCCATGTAGTTGACCGCAGTTTGAGTCCCAGACCCAGTGGCTTAAACTCACACTGGCACGTGTGCGTGCATGCCCAAGATCCCGGGAGGAGAAGGGATTGTGGCATGGCCATCCCCCCTGGGGGGATGGTTTCTCACTTTCTGTCTCTCTGTTTCTGTCTTTCGGGAGAGTGCACATGCCCTATAGCAAAAACCTCTCCAAAAAATAAAAATGAAAAAAGGAAGAAGAAGAAAAAGATCTTATTGACTCACCTAGAAAATTTCTCATAATGGAAGTCCTAATTTTGTGACAGATGGACATTGGTCCAAATCTTTTCTCTTTTTTGTTTTTGCTAAATGATGTGTGTGCTTGCTGAAGAGAGACAGAGAGAGAGGAAAAGTGAAAAATCACCCCATGGGGGATGACCACACCAGAGTCCTTTCTCTATTCTTCTCTTAGAATTTTTGGGCATACATGATTATGTGCCCTGTGTGTTTTTCAAGCCACTGGATCCGGGTCTTGAACCATGGAATCCGCTATGTGGGATCTAGCCTCTTAATCTCCATGGTACCTGCCGACCTCTAAATCTTTTTTTTTTTTTTTCTTCTGTAGGCAAGTGGGCTCACTGAAGAGAGGAAAAGTGAGAAATTGCTCCCCTGGAGGAATGGCAACACTGAAATCCCTTCTCCTCCATTCTCCTCTCAAGATTTCAGGCACACACATACACACACCAGGCAGGTTTTGTGCCACCAGGTCCAGGACTTGAACTGCTGAGTTGGCCATGTGGAATCCAGCACCTTAATCACCACACTACCTGCTGGCCCCATAGGTCTAAACCTTGATTTTTGCTATTTATGAAAGCATAATATTGGCAAGCAACTTCAGCTCTTTGATGGTTGGTTCTCTGACAGGTAGAATGAAGATACTATTATTTAGTTTATTTATTTACTATTATTTAGATACTAAATCATAGTGTGAGGGTCACGCAGAAGGCAGAATGTCTAGAAATGGCTCATCCCCTTCCTTTTCATAACAACACTACCCAGATCGGCTGGTGAATAGTCCTAGTTTCCTGTTCTCTGGAAGCCTGCACAAGTGGAAATGTGGGTGAGGAGGAAAAAAAGACACACAATACAAAGAAAACAAAGATGTCACTACCATATGACAGAACAAACGAGGCATCCCTGCAGATTCTGTGGCATTTGCAAGTCACTGTCACCTCCTTCCATGCCTATTAGTGGTCAGAATCTTGAAGGCCAAGCACTTAAACAGCTTCCTTTCTCACTGTCCCTGGAGCTGGGACAGGGCTGTGGGACACAGAGGTCCTCAGAAGACTCCAGGGACTCAGGAAGAGTATTGCTCCTCTGGCTGGATGAGAAAGATGGGGTTTCTTTCCTCCTGCCTTGAAGCACATGTGGTGTCTAGAGCTGCCGAAGCCATCTTATATCCAAGAGACACAGACACTGGGGAGGCCCTGACGGTCTCAGGGAAACTGGCCTTAGCCCGAGCTATTACCAGATCCTTAGTTGCTGTGATTGCTTATAATCAAAGGAAATAAACCACTGTTTGTTTGGGCCACCCAAGTCATGTTTTCCGGTAGCTGCAACCTAGTGTGTTCCTAACTGGCACAGCGGCCACAGTAATACGTGGCCTCTCCTCGCTGAGATCACCTTGGCCAATCAGTTTTTATGACCCATATTGTGTAGCAGGACCAAGCCTAACTTCCTAAAGGCATAACGCCTGCATAAATTAGAATAGAGTACGAGACTGTGTGTCATCCGTACAGTAAGATTTACCGAGTTCCAGCTCTGCGATACACTGCACAGGTGCTGGGGTTCAGAGAGGAGGGAGACCTGGCGCCTGGTCTGCACCCCTGAGCCATCTAGATGTGTGGAAAGGTGAAGTGTATGCAGACATGACCGGATACACTGACAGCCACACAGAGCAGAGAAGGAGGGGGCGGGACAAGAGAGGAGGAGAGAAAACCAGCTGGGCTGAAGGCAGGCCCCGGGCTGAGCAGACTTCAGAATGGAGAAGCCCTGCAGGGAGGCTGGGGCCAGTTGACCACGGAGACCTGAGGTCACTCTCTACGGAGACCTGAGGTCACTCTCTATGGAGACCTGAGGTCACTCTCGCCTGCAGACATTAGGTGTCTCTGTCAACTCCCTTCACCAGCAACTGGGTGCTCATGCCTCACAGCAGCTCTGGTGGGTCAATACGAGGCATGAGGGACATGAAGAAATAGCCCCTTGGGGACACTAACTCAATGAGCTACAGGCATCACAAAAGGTCCTTGGAGCACCATTAAAGGACTGCTGCTCATCCCGGGATCCCATAGACACCCTCTCACCCTGGCCCCAGTGCCCCCAGAGGGCGCTGACCCCGACATTATAACATCAGGACTGCCCAGGACCCAACCAGCCCAAATCGACTGCTCTCAGGGAGTTTCAGAAGTCATCCACAAATATCGTATGAGAAAACCGCACCCCCAAAAGCTGGGTGGAGGTGATGAGGGTGGAAACAATGACAGGTCTGTAAGCCGTGAAAGCTCTCTGTAAAATGACTGCTCGTTCCTCAGGGTTACATTTTTTTCAAAATCTGT